GGGGGGGTTGTCTTTTCCAACAAACTAAAAATGGCTCGCGCACAAAATTTAAAAGCTGTAATCATCTTTTGAGTTAATAGATGGAAACTTTGTCGGGTTTTTAATTACTGTACAAAATTTTTTAAATACTGTACAGCCTTTCGCATGCTTAATTAATGCTTTTACCTAATTTGCATATTGCTGACATATGCAAATTTAATAGGCAAATGCATTAATTAAGCATGCAAATAGCTGATTTTTAGGAAAAATGTAACTTTGCGTGAATAGTTAAGGGGCTTAAACTAAACCAAATTATCTGAAATTTTGTACAGTAATTAAAAACCCGACAAATTTTCCATCTATTAACCCAAAATATGATTGCAGCTTTTAAATTTTGTGCGCGAGCCATTTTTAGTTTGTTGGAAAAGACACACCCCCCTGGTTCACACAATTTGAGTTCGAGAATTTTTTTTCATTATTCTACATTATAAATACCCAACGAAGCTATATATATATATAAAAACCGGATACAAATAGGTGTTTTGCGAAATTGAGAGCAATTTCAAATCTGTTCAGTTTTTTTTTATACACCCTGTATATAGCCGGTCAGTTAACCACTTCGGATATAAGGAAATAGCGACGTTTATACGTGATCTTCTTGGAAGTATATATATTGTAAAATGAGCACTTTTAAACCAAATAATCCAACCTATAATAATATATCCGTTCCAGGCACATATATGGCGTATTTAGCCACATAAATGTGTGTTTCACGCACATATACGTATGCGCGTATTTTGCGTTTTAAATGTACTATTAATATGCCTGATAGCGTAGTGGAGTTTATTACCTCTTAATTTATGTAGCCAAACGGACGGGTGCAGCCGTTTGCATGCAGCCGTGCAGATAGCAATAAAATCTGTTAAATATTGGAGCGTGTTAGGGAGGGGTCGAGGCATAGGCGTACCGGGCGGGGGGGCGGGGGGGGCGGCAGCCCCCCCCAGTTTTTTGGGCAGTCGGGCAATATTCGATGAACAGTCGGGCAATTTTGGTTTGCAATAAAAAAAAAATGGGTCAAATTCTGTCAATTTTGTCTAAAATTAATTCAATTTTTTGGCAAATTTTGTTTTTTTCGAAAATTTATGTTATGCTCCGGAAAAATTGTTTGTCCGGAAAATTTTTTTGACCCCTAAAATGGTACACTGACCGAAATTTTTTTGGCGACGGGGGGGGGAGGTCGCCAAAATAATTTTTCCGGAAAAATTTTTTTGGTCCTAGTCGGGCAGAATCCCGAAAAGTCGGGCAGAATCTCGAAAAGTCGGGCAATTTTCTTGCCGCCCCCCTAATTTTTTCCTTCCGGTACGCCCATGGGTCGAGGGGAGTAGTTTCCCTCGCAGACGTTCTTATAGCTCTAACCCTCGCTAACTAACGTCTGCTGAAACGAGCTGCACATTCCATTCCCTTTGTTTTAGGAGCCAATCATCTGGCAGTGTTCAAAAGAGTTAGAGACAATTGGAAGCCGCCTTATTGAGGGTTTAGCTACTGGGGAAAGCCCTTGAACATGGGAATATATTGTTTGGGTTGAAATTTGTTTACTTGCGTGGAAATATTTTGGAAACTATAGCCTTGAACTTCACGATGTTTACGTAGAATAATATTGTGGTCATCTTCTCGCATGTTCTGCAAACAACCGGCGTATATAAAATGCAAAAGCTATGCAACAGTATAAACAATGACAAACAAGCAATCGGGAAACTCGAGAACGAGTAGATCAGGATATGTCTAAATAAATGTTGCTATTAAATTCTTCCGATATGCCATGGCTTCGACGAAAAATTCTAAAAGATTAAGCTCTCGTTGCATGTAGAAAAAGTATAGCGAAGTTACATCAGTAAACGTTTCGAAGTTTGGGCGAACTGGGAATTCAATGTGGCAATTAAAAGTTTCTCGGGTTTTATTTGTGTTGTGTTTACATTCAAACGGCAGTCAGAAGTCGTTGCTCAAACAGCAAATTAGTTTACTTTGAGACTAGTATTTCGCTTTCTAAGCCACAGTATTATATCAAATTTTCTATCTTCTGAGTTCTGTTGTCTTAAAGATATATATATATATATCTGTCAAAAGTTCAAATTTCAGCGAAATATATTCTGCATTTGATGCTGTCGCCACTAGATTAATACAGTATGCCCTCGAGCTCTGGCCCTCGAGTATGCCATCCTGATCCACGTTTTAAATATAACCGAACATCTTTAATATCCGAATCTGATAATTAATGGCGCATTTTATTTCCTGGACAAGTATGAATGTCTTTAAATTCAATTTATGTGCAATTTTGACCAAAATTCAACCGACGACTGCTTTCAAAATATAAAAATATTTATGTACTATTCATTCCGCCCGTAAATCACTTTCCGAAATATAGAAAGTTCGCTGTGATTGGTCGATCGAAGGGAATGGAATGTGCAGCTCGTTTCAGCAGACGTTAGTTAGCGAGGGTTAGAGCTATAAGAACGTCTGCGAGGGGGACTAGGAGGGGAGCGGAAGTAGAGTGGCTTGCGAGGTTATTAGTATCTCGCATTTAAACACAATTGACTATACAGAACTACATATATTAAAGTCCGTTGGTTAATAAAAGTTGGGTTTTTTAAAGTAAAAAAAATTAAAAGAAATCCTGAACGGGGCCTTTTGTGGGCGGGCGCAAGGACGCTAACCAACTATTTTTTAGGTGGCCCTACAATAATATATTCGCGTGAACAGAGAGCACTAACACTCAAAACATGAGGAAATAATGGTACCGGATATTATTCAACTCTTCAAATTAAGAGAACTTGGCAAACACAACAAATCAATAAGAGATAATAAATACAGCAAAAAATGTATTAGTTGTCCCAAACGAGGAAGTTTTAAAATATACGAACGTTTCGATCGAACACCTTTAAATGCACAGCAGCTAGGAGTTATATAAATACTTAAATAATTTTAGGCATAGTTTAGACGCAAAGCTATCAGTTGTTGCTAAGTAATATTCTGTTATTCACATCTTTGAGCGGTAGTTTGATTATTCACACAGATTTCGGAGCTGAAACATTTTCTTTGATTTCAATGACATTGTAATCTTTCAAAGCCGTGACATTGTAATTATAATTTTAATTTCTATGGACTATTGTTGGTTCAGAGTTTCGAAAACAACAAGCGACTGCATAAAACGGCCCGAAATGTCTAGTGATATATCAGTTCTCGATTGGCAGGCAACAGTTAACTATTAACAGTTCACGAACGATTAATCATGGGATACTTCACGTTTACATTTCTTATCTGTTTGGTTGTTATTCTACCAAGCTTTCCTTGTCAAGGTGCGATCAGACCATTCTGGTGGAAACCAATCAACAAACCGGAACCAACGTTATTGCCACCAATTGGCAAGGATCCCGAGTTTTACAGAAGTAAGTTCATGATCACTTACCATTTGTTAGAGTCATACCGTTTTCTATAAGTAATACATATATAGATCAAATTTTAGTTTTTCTTAATATCCCCGCGACGACAGCGAAATAGCAAACATTTTTTATTTTATGATTTCTTGCAAATACATTTCATTTTTGCAAGATTTTGTTAATTTTAAAAGCTTTTTGAGAAAAAAAAGCAGAACAATCGGCTAAAAGAAGGGAGCAAAGGCGCCAACGTTAAAGAAGATAAGTTTGTTTTAAATATTGATGCATTGTTTGCTTTATAATTATAATTGCTTTAAACTGGCCAATCGTATAATAAAAAAAGACATGAGCATATAATTTCAGTGCATCTTTATTGATTATCCTTTCCTATTATTTGTTATTTAAGTTATTTGCATGCGAGAACTTGAAATAATTTTATTTCAAACTCAACGTTTATTGATGCAGGTTAGTCATTTATAAAGAACATTTTAAAATGTTTTGCGAAGCGTTTGTGCTTGAATTTTACCTTAAATTGAAGCTTTTGTTACGTATAACATACCTGTACCTAATATATATATATATATGTAGCATAAGATATTAGCAAAACAGTTACGTTCAGAGCATGCAAAAATGTTTTATGAGTAAATTATGTTTAAAGGGAAATGGCAATATATTTTTTTATTTTCTCATTTGAAAGAACTTTTGAAACTATTTAATAACTTCTTTTAACGATTCTTCATATCTTGCTTATAGTTTTTGAAATAATTTCACTTGAAGTAATGAGATGTCAGCCATCTTGGATAAATTTTTGATCTCATTAACGGTAGATTTGGTGACGTCACAATAGGGATTAACCATATAAAAGTATTCGTTGCTGACCAAATATTGATTGGTAGATGTTTTAAAGGTTTCAAGTGATCTTGATATTTCCAAGGGCATATACAGTATAATTTTGAGTGAAAAATGATTGGTGGTTGTCTAGATAAACAACCTCGTTCCCAGGGCTTTTCCCTTTTTGTCAAAAATGCCTGGGAACGAGGTTGCTAGATAAAAATATTGCGTGACAACAGGTGGGAAATTTGTCTGCGCATGCGCGAAGAAAATCAATATGGCGACATATATTAGGAGTGTTTCGTGAATTTACCTGGTTTTAAGCTGATAAAACAACATTTTAATAAACGCAAACTTTGTAATATTTAGTGGAAAACATTAAGCTATGCATTCTAAAGGTTTTAAATTGAAAATAAGTACTTTTGCTTTATTTTATTGCTTTTTATGCTTTGAAAACAGGCAAGCTCATTTTTTGCAAAAAATGTTAAATGTGATCTATTATTTTACCCATCATTTAACTTTAATATGAACAGAAATAGATAGAACACTTGGCTATATAAGTTACAAAGGTATTGTTAGCTGATCTGAAAAATTTCAGTATTCCTGGTACACATTTTAACAAAGAATAAAATGTAATTTGAAAAATTAAATATGCATATCAAAAACAATAGTTTTTATTAGAACAACATATAATAAGTTGTTATTTTCTATTTTTACAAAAACAAGTTTGGAAACAGGATCTAGTCCTCCAGCTTGATGTCATATTCCATTTATTTGGATATTTTAATAAAGAATGTGAAATAATAATTTAATCTTGTGCAAAATTTGATACCAACACACAAGTAAACAGATATTATCATCTAAAAATAAAAGAAAACAGAAAATAAATTTATCATCTAATGCTATGAAAAAAATCTTAGATACTACAGGCATATAGTGAGCATAATTCTTTAACAAACTCATTAAAATAAGTTCAGTTATGCTATGATAAGGGGATGGCAATATATGACAGCATCAAATGTCACCATATTCAGTGTCCGAAAAAAGTGCCGCGCGCATTTTTCATGGTCGCATAACTGGTATTGCCACAAACCCAGGTAAAAATGCAATTAAATTAGAAAAACCTGGTTTTGGATGATGAGCATAGTGAAATTCTTGACTTATTCAACTTTCTAAGTTTTTCCGGGTAAACAGATTCAACATTGAAATAAGCCCCATTCGGGATCTCATATAAACCAAAATATTGTGTATGGACCAGATTTTTTTCAATTTTCTGTGATTTACATGACACTAGTTATAATTTAAGGGTAAACCAGTATTGTTCAAGACATATTTTCCTTCCAGAACACCTTTTCAAAATACTAACCCAAACATGTAAAAAATAGTGCACATTTACAAGGGCAATTTCACCCCTTTGGCACATTTTTCCCATGAATGATTTTAATTCTATTAAAAAGACTATAGATAAAACTTTGATTTAAAGCTAGTTTCAAGTGATGAGCATACCCTAATTTTTAAGCTATACCTCAAGAAGATAGGTCATTTCAACATAAACATTGAAATATGGGTATACTGACAGCTCTGTCACACTTGTAGTTTGGCATTAACAGCCCTTTTGAAACATTTTAATGAAAATATAATTCACAAAATTCACATTTTCACTTACGTCTTAACATCTGTTTTAATCCAACTAGCTCTGTGGGCACGAGCAAAATCTAGTGTTGATGTAAATATCCATTTAGTTCATGTTTCCCAGGTGAAAATATAGTCTATTCCAAAGCTGGATTTCGACGTACTTTAGCTTTTCAGAAACCATTGGCCTTCCTCAGTAAGATTATCAACTGTTTCATAAACATATTTGATAGTAAACAGCTAAAATATTCTCTGAAAGTCTATATTTTTCACTCTTCGACGAGAAAATGGCAACTCGAGAAGAAATGAGCCGCTATTTTTGGTCAGCGTCGACAAATTGCCCACCTGTTTTGCGTGACCCCTTGCGTGACCCCTGTTGTGACGTAGCATGCATATCTACAAAAATAGGTACGCACTGCGTACATGTGGCTAGCCTATTCACTATTCAGCCTGTCAAATACAGCTGGAGTTCACATTGTCATGAACATTTATCACAAACATTCATTGTGATACAAAATTAATAATTACAATAGAAGAATGTTCAAAATAAAACAGATGAGTATCTTTCTTACAATGCCAAGAAATGGCTACAATCACTCGATTTAAAAGCAATGGTTGGTACTTGCTAGCAATGGTGCAGCCCGTGCAGCCAAAAATATTATTGAGTCACAATTTAATTAATAAATGTTTTGCTTTAATAATAAACATATATGCAGCAACTAATGATGTCACTTTTATTGTTTTTCAAAATTTCACTAATATGTAATTCACTAATTTCACTAATATGTAATTCACTAACATTTCATTACATGGGTTTCTTGTTACAAATATATTCTGGTGTCTGGTTTACAAGTTATTAGCTTTTCTTGAAACCTTTCATAAAACCTTTAACCCATTAAGCTGCAGAGCTTCCCCACTAACGAGTAAAATCGTCTGGCGACTGGCGTTAGACAAGTAAAAAAAGGTTGGGCGCAATGGGGCGCATTGCGGCTCAATGGGTTAAATTCAAAGTTCTTCATTAATATAATATTTAATGCTAGATTTCTTAACAGTTTTTATTTATTGTAATTTATAAGATCTAAAAGCATCGGAATTTATAATGAACTCATCCAATCAATTGGGTCATTCCAGAAAACATTCATACCACCCCCAGGGAGGAAATTGGAAGTTAACCCCCCTACCCCCTTGTGATGTCCTAATACATTTACTATTATCAGAAACAATTTTGTCTCCCCTCCCCCTCCGGACAGCAGAAATTTCCTCCGTGGGGGGAGTATGGATCTTTTCTGGAATGACCCATTATGTCATCACCACTAAAACTTTTGTCTGATAGTTGTATTGCCCTCATGATGATACTTGCATATCATGATCTTCCTATATTATCCAATTTTATCACCAGTCACCATATTATCAGCAAATTGTCCAGAATATGTGTTCACTTAGTTGTTTGAAGTACTGTAGATGTCATGCATCACTGTGATTTTGAATTGGGCTTTTATCTGTAAATGGTTCAAAATTAAGAACCAAAAACAGTGTACTTACTGGCAGATCACAAAAATGAAATATTGTAAATGATGCAGGTATAAATTTAAACAACATTTAACTCTAGCTATAAAAGTATGAACATGCTACTCAATTGACACTGCTGTTATTAAATGCTGAAAAGAAAGGTTGAAACTTGTCGATATGACCTCAGCACATTATGGCTGTGGGTTTGCTTTTTCATATACCCTCTCAACTGCTAGGATCAGTGTTGTATAGTGATTGCACTGATCTTCATGAACGTAGCAAAGCATCTGTCATTGGGGGAGGGGTGGGGGGTGCCTGAGAATTTTACCTGAAATCTGAACTTCAATGTTAAAAATCTACCTGAAGTGTAATAATTCCACTGTCATACTAAGTTCTCTAAGAAAAAGGGGTGTGGGGGTCCTCCTCCAGAAAATGTTTACATTTTTGAAGCTCCAGAACTGCATTTCTGGTGTTTTCTAAAACACATTTACAAACAAATTGGATCTAAATTGACTGTATCAAAAATGGTTATCATTTCACAAAAATACCAACTTTATTATGCAAATTTAACCTGAAATTGTAAAGATTTATACTTGATTTTGTGGGGTTTACACCCCCACACTCCCATGTCCCTGCTGATCTTTATAGATCAGATATTATTTACATCTGGACCGGATATCCAAAAATAAACTGCACCCACAGTTGCATTTTTTGCAGCTGTACCTGGTTAGGTCTTATAATGAATTTAAATACATTTTCACTCAATTATTTCCACCTAGAAGATTGATATTCAACCCAGAGTGCATTCCATGCACGTTTTGTGGAAGATCTTCGGCGTGAGTTTTGAATTGTTGGCGCACAATCACGTCGAGGTTGGCGCACAATTTTTGAGTTTTGGTGGTTGGCGCAGCATCAAATGTTTAAGCGAGATTTTGAGTGTTAATAATCGCCTGGTGATTGGATTGGCCTCTATAATTCTTTAGGGACTCGAGAAATTTGTGTTCCTGGTCAGTGTAATGGCTATTAAATGGTGTAATTAACTTGTGATACAACAGTAACAACACTCATAATTGCTCATCAGCAAAACATCTTATTCATCAATTACACGCCTTTTTAGCAAGTTTTAATTTTGGAAAACTAACTATTAATGAAAAATCACGGTGCCCACGATCAGCCGGCGCACAAGTTGACCTCACTTGGCGGACGGCAACACTACCTCAGATTATCTTCGGTGTGAAGTTTACACGGAATGCACCCTGGTATTCAACTGTACATAAACAGACTGAGCTTCCATTGCACTGTTTGACACTGTGTGTGAAATTGTGGTGGGAAACAATCCTTGAATCGGCAATAGATCTCAATAATATAGCACCCGTTAATTTGCAGTCGGTGCGATGCCAGTGACCATTAATTTAAAGACTATAGTAATATAAAATATACCTGCAGCAAGTGGATAGGGCAGTTGTAGTATAATATAACAGCAATGGGCTTGCTTCTTAATTTACCCACATAATGATATATTAAAATTCAAGATCTGTGCAAGCACATTTGATTATAAACAGTATTATAAACTCACTATAAAGCTTTATATGAAGCGTGATCAAAATATCTTTGACTCAAAGCAGAGTCCAGACTATAGCATGCAGACATGAATAGCAATGACATGACAGATTCACAAATTATAAACATAAATATCGATTGAAATAACAAAAATTAACTTACCGTTTGCTGTGAAAAATTCCTTCGAGTATTTCTACCAGCGTTTATACCAACTGTAATTTTGCTAAGTGAGGCATCTCCACTTCCAATTCTTCCAGTATTAAAGCTTTTCTGATGCCATGAACATTGAACGACAGTTTCCGATGTAAAGTCGACAATCTCCGTCACAACTTCACATAGTCTTACAATTTTAGCGTTACATTGTGGCTAGCCCGCGAACGGGCTAGCCACAAAAATCCAAGTGGCGGACATTTCATTTCTTTCGATTAAAATATTTGTAGAAGTAAGCAAGATATGAGAAAACAATAAAAGAGTTTTATATATGCTTTTTAATGTTCTTTCAAACCAGAAAATAAAAAAAATATATTGCCACTTCCCTTTAAGCAAAACGCCGAAACTACTTTGTTTTTACAAGGTTGCAGGATTTTCACTGTTTGTCAGTAACTGCACATTTGCTTTGAGCCTTTAAATTAAAAAACTTAGCCTAATATTTCAAAATCTATCCCCATGCAAACAACCCACCGGGCACACGACGTTGTTTCAACGTTGAAATTTGGTAGAAAAAAGGTTGCGACGTCGACAACCTAATATCTACGTTGCTCTGACGTTGTTTTAAAAACATTGGTTCAACAGCAGCCAACAGACGTCAATTAACGTTCATTCATGGTTAAATGTACGACGTCGATTTGTGAACCAAGCTCAACGTTGTTTTAACGTGGATTCAACGTTGAATTATGGTTGACGAGATTGGCAACCTAATTTCAACGTTGTTTCAACGTCGAAACAGTAACGTCGATCCAATTTGCATGGTCAACCCTTTTTCAACGTCTATCCTGGAAGGTCATTTCCAACGTTGATTCAACGTTGCCTTGGATAAACGTCATTTTGCCCGCTGGGAACAAATTAGACAGCAAAAAAAAACGTTTTGACGATGAAAACTTAGTTTTAGCTTTGTTTATACTTTGTAGTTTGCACTCCTGCTCAAATTCAACATGGCGGATTTATAAGGGCATTTTTGTTTTCAATTTGGACACCGGTCACGTGACCAAGCGCGCATTCACGTCTAATATGTCTATGAATAAGACGCAGACCATCGAAAGAAGCAGGCGATGTCTGACTTTAAGTTTAACTTATGTAGATCCAGAAGACCAAACTATTAACCTGATTGGAAAGTTTGGAAATTGCGCGCCGGAGATTTCAAAAATTTAATAGTAAATATATACAGGGTGTATAAAAAAAACTGAACAGATTTGAAATTGCTCTCAAACAACATATATATATATATATATATATAGATTCCATGAGTACCCATAATGTACAATAAAGAAAAAAAATACTCGAACTCAAATCGTATAAACCAGGGGGGTGCATAGCCTCCTCCGCGGACATCTCTTTAGTTATTCAAATAAATGATGTTTTTCTGATTGGGCTAGGTAAGTACCACGAGATGCCTGCGGAGGAGGCTAGGGGGTGTAAACCAACAAACTAAAAATGGCCTGCACAAGGCATTTTGAGTTAATGGATCGAAAGTGTGTTGGGTTTTTAATAACTGCATGTACTAGATTTCAGACAGTTTGCTTTAGTTTAAGCCCTTTAACCATACTTCCCTGAAAAATTAGCCTCTCGCATGTTTAATTAACGCATTTAATATTCTGACATATGCAAATTAGGCAAAGACATTTTTAAGCATACAAAAACCTATTTTTTAGGAAAAAGCGAGTTTGCACAAATAATCAAAGAACGTAAACTGAAGCAAATTATCTGAAATTTCGTGCGGCAATTAAACTGAACACATGTTTCATCCATTAATTCAAAATACGTGAAAGCTTTTAAATCTCGTGCGCAAGCCATTTTTAGTTTGTTGGAAAAGAAACACACGAGAATTTTTTTTCATTATTCTACATTATAAGTACCCGAAGAAGCTATATATATGAAAAACTGGATACTAATAGCTGTTTTGCAAAAATTTCAAATCCGTTCAGTTTTTATACACCCTGTAGAAGGCATCAAAATTGCGCGCCCGATATCTCCGCCGCACGATACGAACCTAAATACATAAAATTATGTACAAATTATCCACTTTCCTCCTCGATAACAAACAGTGAACGTTGTCATAACAATAGCAAACTTTTGTAAGCTATTCCATATAGTCGCCATTTTGATTTTGATTTTGATTTCGTACGAATTACGTAATTTTTGCCAAAAAATTGTCATTTTGTGGTCTACCAAAGACCAAACCTAAAGTCGGTGGGCACCACAGGTGGCCCCATCGACTAATGAAACGGTTATTGTTAATATTGTCAGTCGGTCTTTGTAAGGTTTAGTGTCCTTGCTTTATTTAGTGCAAATATTGGACTTTCAAGATGGTTTAATTTTTTTGTTTTCCCATATTGAATTTGCTCATACGAATTTCCTTATACGAAAGAGATAAGTTATTAAATTAGTCCACTCAGATGCACGAGTTTATTTTGAAGTCAACCAATGCATTTATGAATATTTTAGAGTTACAAAAAGAAATTCCTCCCAAAAACGAAACGGCAAAAAAGCTGATTACAAATATCCTGCGCATACGTCCGGGCGGCAAACGAATGATGAAATTACAAGATTTTGTCATTGTGATGGATGGGTCCTCATCGATTCGCCAGTGTGAATTTAATAATGGAAAGAAAGCTATGCAAAGTCTTTTACAATACACACAACCCGGAGTCGACGCTAAGTATGCTATGGTAACGTTTGCTTCATCGGTGAGAAGAGATTTTAATTTCTTGTCCCAGTCAGACGCAGCAGCTAAAATTAGTAGTGTCACTTTCCCACGTGGTTATACAAACACTCAAGGTGGACTTGCCGAGGCATTTAATTTGTTCAAAACAGGTAAGGAAGGCAGTATTTGAGCAACGACTTTATGTGTACCTGTTGTTGTTGCTAATGTCTTATTGTGGCTTTTTTTGTAAATAATTGTTGTGCATGATGTTTCTACTGTATTGTTTTTGTCGTTTTAATTAATGATTTATCTAATGCTGCTGTTTGTGCAGGTGTAATTACACTTGTAAATGCTCTTGCTGTTATATATGATCGTCCTTTTTGTTGTTCTTGGTGGTGGTGCAGGTAGTGGTGTTGCTAGCTGTAGTTGGTTTTATTGTTGCTGCTACTGTTTTCAGTTATAATTGCTGTAGTTTCCCTGTTGCCGTTGTTTTTCTGTTGCTGTTATTGTTGCTGCTGCTATTGTTGTCGTTTTGGTTTTGTTGTTGTTGATGTTGTAGTCGTCGTGGTCGTTGTCGTTGTTGTTATTGCCCCTGCTGTTGTTTGTTGTTATCAAAGTTGTTTTTGCTGTGATATTGTTATTGTTTTTGCTGTGATATTGTTATTGTTTTTGCTGTCATATTGTTATTGTTTTTGCTGTGATATTGTTATTGTTTTTGCTATTGTTATTGTTTTTGCTATTATTGTTTTTGCTGTGATATTGTTTTTGCTGTGATATTGTTTTTGCTGTGATATTGTTTTTGCTATTGTTATTGTTTTTGCCATTGTTATTGTTTTTGCTATTGTTATTGTTTTTGCTATTGTTATTGTTTTTGCTGTTGTTATTGTTTTTGCTATTGTTATTGTTTTTGCTATTATTTTTGCTATTGTTTTTGTTATTGCTATTGTTTTTGTTATTGCTATTGTTTTTGCTATTGCTTTTGCTTTTGCTATTGCTATTGCTTTTGGTTTTGCTATTGGTTTTGCTATTGCTATTGCTATTGCTATTGCTATTGCTATTGCTATTGCTATTGCTATTGCTATTGCTATTGCTATTGCTATTGTTATTTTTGTTAGTGTTGTTATACTGCTGCTGCTGTCCCTCCTTTTGTTTTTTGTGTGAATTTGGTATCGTTGTTGTCACTGTTGAACTACAGATGAAATCTTATTTTGCAGAAGGCCGCCGTAATTTTGGCACGCGTAAGGTTGTACTGCTATTAACAGATGGTCAATCCAACATTCTACCACATAAGACAATACCAAATGCTAAGGCGTTAAAGGATGCAGGAGTGGAAGTTTTTGTTGTTGCTGTTGGGAATGAGTACATCAGCGGAATCAACGAGATGGCCCACATAGCAAAGTTTCCACCAGCCAAATTCCTGTTTCGCGTGAGAAAATTCGGGAGCTTTCTAGATGTCGTTAAGTTGGCAATCAAAGAAGTAGCCCCAGATGTATACGAAATTGTGAAAAAATATAAATCTACGTGCTCTTAAACAGCTAAACCTTCATTTTGAAAAGCAAAAAACGTTTAAAAGAAAACAGCTTGTAGCGCTTATCATATATCATTACTTTTTCTTCTTGAGCATTTTTTTGTGACTATTATATATCTCAGTCAACTTTTTTCTTAAACATTTGATTTGATCTTGTCATTATATATATACCATTATTTTTCTTCATTATTTTTATCATTATATATAATATTCAACCACAACACCGTTAAAATATATAAGCGACAGTTGCATGTGCAATATCAAACAGACCATCGCGACGAACACAACAAAACAAAACTGTCCGAAACAGCCACAACGAGCGAAGAAAGCACATATATGCGACTGTAGAAAGAAAGAAGAGTGCCCAGTGTAAAAAAAATGTTTGGTCGAGTCCATTGTGTATCAAGCTACAGTTTCCACCAACGACAATTAGTTCACCTCAAACATACGTTGGTCTTACTGAAAACATGCACTTTTAAAACTAGATATTTCAACCACAAAACGTCATTTACTTTGTACTAGAAAAGGAACTCCACAGAACTTATAGTAAATATGTTTGGCAGTTAAAGCGCATGAGAGGAATTGAATTTCACATTAAATGGCAAACTTTGAAACGGGCCAAAACCTACAGCCCTTCTTGGAATATATAATATATATATATATATATATATATATATATATAATTTAATTTCTTAACTTAAAATATAGTCACAACTCTGAGTTTCACGCTCAATGCGATCTTCAGGCGACAATGTTTAAATCTCAATAAAATAATTTTTTATTGAGATTTAAACATTGTCGCCTGAAGATCGATCGCATTGAGCGTGAAACTCAGAGTTGTGACTATATTTTAAGTTAAGAAATTAAATTATTTGCTCTACGTTATTAAATGGTATTGAGCACTCTTTCTAACTGTAAAATTTGATCATCTTTGGTCTCATTAATATTATATATATATATATATATATATATATATATATATATATATATATATATATATATATATATATATATATATATATATATATATATATATATATATATATATATATATATATATATATAAATATATATAAATATATATATATATATATATATATATATATATATATATATATATATATATATATATATATATATATATATATATATATATATATATATATATATATATATATATATATATATATATATATATATATATATATATATTACGCTCCTTCACTTCGGTGTTGTAGAGCACTCTGTGGAGTTAATTGGGTGTCCATTAGCAATAATGCAAAGCTCACTTCCCTCGTGGTTGTTTGGGCACTCTGGCCCCATGTCACTCTGCGCATGTCTGGATGCGTTGATGGCCCGTGTTGTACCACATGCGCTTGGGAGAGCAAGTGTCATGTATATCAATACGAAGGTCATCGCGTGTCTAGATGTGTACCAAGCTGCACTGATGAGGCGTAGGACGCCGAAACATGCATGTCTGCAGATTGTACTATATATATATATATATATATATATATATATATATATATATATATATATATATATATATATATATATATATATATATATATATATATATATATATATATCGAAAAATGTTAAAATTGCAACCAGTGGAAGACATCTTTTGGAAGCTAAAAGTAAAGCTTGGACGTTTGAAACTGGTTAAAAATTTATTTTAAAAATATTAAAATATCGGAAGACGTTTCGGTCAAACAACTAAGACCTTCGTCGATTCAACTAAAACGATGAAACTACGTCTATATTATATAGGTTACAAAAAATTATGCTAAATTGCTACTAATTTGTTCAAGATAAAAATAAATATCCGGAATGTCATTAGGACCGTACTAAAGTATGTTAATTGTTAAAACTGAAAACAATTATAATCTCAGTAATGTCTTAATGAACACAATTATTATGTTAACTGGTATTGAACAATACAAGGCAATTGTAAATCTCAGGAATGTCATTGTGATCATTTCCCGCATTGGCTTGCTTAGAGAATGCCACGCTTCAAGGAACAACCTTTTGTCATGGTCTAGTTCACGATCGACAAATTTGGTATTCTAAAATGAATATTCAATAATGAATATTCTAAAATAGCGCAACACACAAACACTCACCTTCACAAAATGGATTTTGAAAATACCAAAATTGTCGATCGTGAACTAGACCATGACAAAAGGTTGTTCCTTGAAGCGTGGCATTCTCTAAGACAAGTCAATGCGGGAAATGATCACAATGACATTCCTGAGATTTACAATTGCCTTGTATAGTTCAATACCAGTTAACGTAATAATTGTGTTCATTAAGAC